AGCTATTCGGAGCGCGAATTTCGTGTGATTTTGACGGACAATAGCTAATGTTCGTGTCTTTTTTCTCAACCCGTTGTAAAATTAGGGCATATCACCTGTAGATCAAACACCACTGAAGTAAACATGTAGCCTAATTTGTACTAGATAAGCGGGTCCAGTAAGGGTTATTAAACGTCACTTTTCCAAAAGGTGTATAGTCGTGATCGAGAAGCTCACTCACACGTCACTTTTCCAAAAGGTGTATGGTCGTGATCGAGAAGCTCACCCACACGTCACTTTTCCAAAAGGTGTATGGTCGTGATCGAGAAGCTCACCCACACGTCACTTTTCCAAAAGGTGTATGGTCGTGATCGAGAAGCAGTCGATTTGCACACGGTATTCGAATACGACGAATAGTAACTTCACGTTTCGAAGCGTCGACGAAGCTTCGTTCCTTCCAAATTACACAGCACTATATACATTGTACTGGAGTAGCCCGTGCACAAACCCACACAAAGCACAGCGGTTCCACGAGCTTCAATAAGGCTTCACTCATGAACGGGTCAAGAGGTCACTCTCCTTAGGAGGTACACGCAGATCGCTGGGACAGAATCGATAATCCGTTGCAACAAACAGGTTACCGTTCGCCGGGGCAAAATTCGATCTTTTTATCTACGAGTACACACGCACAGACAAAGCTGATAGCCCTGGTAGAATTGCCCACCACTCAATATATTATTATTATTATCCAACCAGATTACAGGGTCAGACAAAATCCGGGGCTGCCTCAGTATAGAAGCAATGACTACACCCCTCTTCTAGCGCAATACGTCACCTGTAGACACACACACACACTTGTGTGAGGGAACAGCGGTGTCAATAGATCAGACGTTTTGTCGGAAGAACGGGTATACATTGTGTAGTTGTAGTAAAGACGACCTGATAGATTCATGTGTTTTAGTACTTGATTTTATTATTCACATGATAGGTGGAATTTGGATCAGTGCCGTGCGTACGCGCGCGC